CTGACACATAATTCTAAGAACACTGAATAACACGTAATACAATTGATCTAGAATAGTACCTGGAGAGTGGATCTATCTCGCCCTTGCAATGACTAAAGCTAGTCAATTAATTTAATACAACATTTTGACAGTTAAAGACAGACTGAAAAGTTTGTGGACAACAATGGCGACATGACAGCTAGAAGCACGGAGAAAACCGGATGGACGCTGATTGGTTGATAATAAGAGGCTCGAAATACAAATCGGGACTCGTCGGCACTTAACTAAAAATAAGACACAAAATGAATGTAAACGAAATAAGATTTCCGATCTATTCAGAACAGTGATGTTTGAGGGCCACAGAATAAACATGGTAACTTCCTTGCTAAATCAGTTGTCACTTGAATACTGGAAGCATAAACCTTTTGTGCTGCAGGCTGTTTATTTTGACTATTATTTTGACTGTAAGAAGAAATTGATCTACTCTGATATCCAAGTCCACTCACACCTCGGTCGTTTTCACTTCTAGATATAAAGCCCACAAAGCTTTCAAAGTCAGATAGATTAGGTGACCGACTCTGGGTTTCACGTAATTTACCAACTTGTGAAATCCACTTCTGTTGAAGAGCTGTTGGTAATTTTGAACACAAAGATCTAATAAAGTCAAAACTGTCCATACAATTCATATCACTATTATTTTCTTTAGAGTTAACACAGTTTATAAGAAAAATAGAAAATTTTCTTAGTCCTGCTTTATCACCCGAACTAATTCGAGGCCACTGTTCAATTCGTTTCATAAATGCTGCTGCTATTATTGGGGGGTCACCGTAGTCGGGGATAAGCAAGGTCTTTGCACGTTTATAGGCCTTTTGTTGGGGATCGATTAAAGGACAATACTGAATTAAATCGTGCGCTTCCCCTCTCGTATATTTCAGCCGAAATTCAAGTCTTCTAGCTGGATCCTTCGTATTTCATTCCACAACTAACTCAAAGTTTCTTTTAAAGCAGAGGCGGATACGGCTCGCGCCCCTCCTAATTTTCGACAGTGCCCTTTTTTACTGCTGAAAGTGCCTTTTCTCAGACCCAAATATGTCCGTTCCCAACCCGTTGCAGGGATCCCAAATGACTTGAACCATCGAGTCAAACACGGTGCCCTAATCCTATAGAGTGACTATAGACAGACATAAATGATAGCATCTTGTTAAATAGTGAAGTGGCTAGGGAATAGATTCGTCTTTTTTCCCATCATAATGCCTCGCTCGCCTTGACAATTTTCGAGTCGCGTATTCAACTGGCTTTTTTGCTCGATTTTAAGGCTCTTTTTCAATGATTTGCGAACGTTTACTTAGACGAAAATATCAGCCAAATAGCTCTTGGAATGGCTACAGATGCAGGAAATGATGGATAATTTTCTTGGGCCCCCCCCCCCTCAGCGGCGTGCCGCGTCTCCGCGGTCAGTGCCCTCATTTTGCGGCGCCCCCCCTTTTCCTAATTCCTGTAAAGGTTTGAAATAATAAAATGTCAGACCCATCGAAATATTTAATTTCATGATTGGGTAACACTTGATCACATTGATTTTCTACAAGTCTATTGAAAACAGACATTACATCAGTATTGCTACACGTAAATGATTGTGTTTCTTTCACGTCAGGACCTGTCAATGTCACTGGAGGTGCGAATGCTTTAGATGAATTAGTTTCTTTCGCAACAGGACTTGCTGATGTCACTGGAGGTTTAAATGTTACTTCCGGGTCTGATTCTTCTTCTAAAACCCGATTCATTTCACGCTTTGCATGTAGTTTTGCACGTAATGACACTTCCTTCTGTTTTCTCTGCAATTCTTCAGCGCGCCTTTGTAGTTTAAGTTTTTCTTCTTCAATTTCATTGATTTCATGTAAGGCTTCTAGCTCAAGTTTTAATTCTATTTCTTTCTGCTTATTTTTAAGTCTTATACTTGAAGTCGTTGAACGGTTCGAAACATAAGACACACTATCCTCTGGGTTCACTGTCGGCTCATTGTTCACACTTTTCGGACGCCTCGGGTAAATTATCATTCTCCTCTAAATTCACTAATGGTTCATTATTCACATTGTTCACATTATCTGTATTCACATTGTCGTTGACATTGTTATTAACCACATCTCCGGCCCCGTATGGGTTGCCAATTTCAAGTTCTGACATATTTGTATCATGTATTGTATTTGCTAATAACGTTAAATGTACATCATGTGTTAGCTGGGTAATACATTTTGTCCACTGAGTAAAGCTTGTCAACAACAGGAACAAAACAAGAGTCAAAAGATGACTTACTATTTTCATAGCTTGAAATATTTTCACAGTGTCTATAAACTGTTCACATAGTTTCAGTGTCTCTAATTTTCAGTGTTCACTGTTCACTCATGATGCGTTTTTTACTAGAGAATGTCGTGAGTGAGAGAAGATGCTGACCCTCTCCACGCGACATGCCATTCGGGGTGGGCTGGCAAACTAAGTTGACAAGACAATGGTCAACACTTGAATCGCGGAACAACACTTGAAATGATAAGGCCTTGCAAATATTTATGTAAATAAATATCATATACAGAAAACAATAGTTACAGCACAAAACATTTATGTAAACAAGCTGACAGTTTTCCTTGTTGACACTAATTCACTAACACAGAGTTCATGGTCACAGAGTTCATGGTTCACAGAGTTCACTGGTCACAGAGTTCATGGTTCACAGAGTTTACGGTTCACAGAGATACGCCATGTTTAAGGACATGGGGTTTCACGATAAGAAAGTTCACCTTCCCGAAGGAATTGCAAAATCAGTCACGGTTGTCACCCCATGATACGAACATATATAGATTCTATGTTCATTCACACACAGTTCACCATTCTTTGGTCGTATATAACAATCGTCCTAAACCTAGTTACCAAACTCCAACCGCGATGCGACGAAAAACTGTATCAACACACGCCATCACTCACAACCTCATAACGAGGCCACAGGAAGTTAAATAGTCAAAATCACAAAGTCTCTTTCAGACAAACTAATAACAACACTACAGACACGATCAACCAGTCACTGAACACTAAAAGGCAAACGACTTCACACACACAACATATAAACAATATTGTGGACATTACAAATAGGCTTATACTAGGCATTATTAATAAATCCCCAACAACTACGGAGCATCGGTCTATCATAACTGCTTTACATGACGACTGTGTGATGTTTGGGGACAAACATATTCAAAATAGACTTGTCAGACTGAAGACAAAGACTAGCAAGCTGGGTAAATGTAAGGCTAAGTCCAAAAAATCTACAAAAGCACTCCATCGGCAGATACTAGTGAAATTAGTTTCATAAATAGAGAGACTCAGATACGGTGGCTGATTTAGGACACGCAAAAAAAAAAATATTTCGAGCGCTCCATCCCATGCTCATCACCAACACTAAATATTTCCCTTTATATTTACCCCTCCCTTTCCAAGTGGGGAGTATATCGCATATTATTATACAAATCAATAATTGTATATCGAGGTTACAGAGTTTTGCTAGGAGAGACTGACATTTCCTCTTATCAAGAAGCTCAGGTCTGATCCAAGGTTATTTATTTCATATGTAGGAACTGATCATTGCCTAATTTACACTTGCGCAAGTGGCTCGATCTTGCCGGACAATCCCTCGCACCCATGCCCTGCCAGTCCTTACACCTTGTTCTAGCTGGGGATTCAAAGTCCTCTTCCACCCATCGGGAAACCTTTATCTTGTTAAATTCAGAGTCCTTGCTGTGGGAGGAAACACAAGGACACAGAGTAAAACCACACAATTGGAAGGCATCTCATTAACTTGGAAGGGGGTAGATATAATGGGAACTATTTAGTGGTACTGATAAGAATGGGCTGGAGTGTGGGGTGTATCCCCTTCCAAGTTAAGGTGTGAGTAATCTGGGATGTGTGAGGGGTTGTCGCGCTTCAAGCTATAGCTTGCCAGCAACCTCGGGATTGTAGTTCTGGGTACTGTCACTGGTGTGAGTGTATGTGACTTGATGATACAGATGGTAACGTAGCAGCGGTTATATCCGCATGTTTGGCTGTCGCGGGACTACAATCTAATTACACTCCATGTGAGTAAATGCTACCATATCACACGAGAGAACGTTGTCCTAATTTTGAATTTGTTGTTAATATATTATTTAATTTCCACTGTAGCGGTTAATATTATGAAGGCGTACAAATGTCAAATTCAACCGTCTCATGGAGTGTATTCCGTTACTTTGCAAAAAGGAAATAAGCGATGATTTCCGACTTCGATAATGACTTATTCGTTTCAGGGTAGTGATTACGGTTTTTTATACGACCAAGGGACATAACTCATATTGTGACGAAGAGTTAACTTCCTTGATAATGGAAGCCAGGAAGATTTTGAAGCATTTATAACAAATTTCCAAATGGTTATATCCTCAAAAATCAAATGTGGTCAGACGTCTATTGCTGATGAATGAAGGTTTTTATGGCAATTCTTATCATGCGTACAGATGTCAAATTCAATCGTCTCATGGAGTGTATTCCGTCACTTTGCAACAAGGAAATAAGCGATGTTTTCCGACTGCGATAAAGACTTATTCGTTTCAGGGTCATGATTACGATTTTTTATATGACCAAGGGACATAACTCGTATTGTGACGAAGAGTTAACTGCCTTTATAATGGAAGCCAGGAAGATTTTGAAGCATTTATAACAAATTTCCAAATGGTTATATCCTCAAAAATCAAATGTGGTCAGACGTCTATTGCTGATGAATGAAGTTTTTATGGCAATTCTTATCATATAATGTTAAAATAATCCCGAAATAGTGTCTGTTTTTAGTAAAAAATTTTGAGCATGAACCACTCTATCTAATGCACAACATTGTGTGCTCTTTGTCTCTCTCTGTCTCTCATATATATGCATTGTTTACATTGAATATTTGTGAGATAAAGAAGCTATATTAAAGTTTAAATGATCAGTTATAAATTATTATATTGCAGAATGAAGGACGAGTACAAGGTTTCGTAGAAGGACCATCCATATCTGTTCTTAAATTACAGAAAAGTACTTGGCATACAGAAGCTGAACCCCGGGTATATGTTCATTTTATTTATATAGGGACAAGTTTTTGTTGCTAAAAGCAACCCATATGTTGTGCTTAAATAATTACTCTTTCTTCATTCTTCAACTTTGCAATTTTGTGAGACCCAAGTTTGGGGATTTGGGAGGATTTTTTATTGATAACACAAAATGCATTCCACATGCAAGATGTGTTATAGTGTATTCAGTGTATTATAGTGGTGGTTGGGTGGTGGCCAAGTGGTCTAATGTGTGCACTTTGATTATGAATAAAGAATTGCCATACATTACTCCTGAAATGACCTAGTCTGTGTTGTGAGGAGGAGGCCAACTTTTAATACAAAAAGGCTCTATGACCTAATCTACTTACCATCGATTTATTTGTCCAGACTATATGGTTTTACCTTGAGATCAATCTATCTATAGCTCTGGTCTTCAAGCTATTAGATTATTTCTGCTCCTTGTGACTAAAATATGACATGAACCTATGAATATTATACATCTTTAAATCTGGCTTTGTATAAGATTTTAGTTAAGTTTTCAAGAGGTCACAACATTTTATACATGTCAAGTTAGCTCCCCTGAATTTTCGCCCTGATTGAAACAAAGTTTTAACATCCTACTTTTCTACACAAACTCTGCTTTCACTGAGAACTACTAAGTGGTTGATCTGTACGCAGCCCATATATAAATCTTTGTTTGGCTTGTTATTTGTACGTCTATCGAAAGAAAATCAATTTCCTGACTATTACTCGGTATTGCTGCGTTAATTAACAAGGTTGAAAAACTGTCTGAGAGGTGAGTTCATTAACGCTAGGGGTGAAAAACTGTCTGAGAGGTGAGTTCATTAACGCTAGGGGTGAAAAACTGTGCGACGGTGCTTTTTCTGTAGAGGTGTGTTTATTACCCGACCGTTAAAAAATGAATGTCATTGGTGTGTATTTTTTAATTGGCGTGTTTTCTCGCTCGTTGCGATAACTGCACCAAAAGGAGTATAATCAAGGACCAATAGGCTTTATCTGACACGTACATGTTAAATCAAAATTTTGGAAGTAAAACTGTTTTACCGTACAATTTCATTTGACCGTGTGTTTAACGCAGGTCTTTGTATAGTTAAAGACAGGTCTTTAGATAGTCGTGTGTGCTCGCTATGATCTACATTTCTCTTACGTGTCTTTTGTATTGCGTACCATATATATAAAGTTGCATTTAATGAAATAAATTGATCTATTGTTTATATGTTAGACCACGCATTTTTCTAACAACATGTATGGTCTAGCGTTTAAAAAAATCAGCCCAAAATGTAACTGATAAATACTAGGGCTGTGTCAATATATCGATACATGGTAAGGTAAATTTAAATCTTCATTGAATATAATCCCCTGATAGAACACCGAATACACCGAAAAACAGTCATTTAATAATATATTTTCCTGGTAGAATTCCAATGACACGTGGTATATCGCTTGGAATTAGGTCAATAAACCAGTTCTAAAAAGCGCTTACCGTTATGATTTTTTTTTATTTTATACACATTCTGACATAGGCTTAATTTCAAAAATATTGTTTTTATTGAAGGCTATATCATAATCGTACTGAATTTTTATTTTAAAGCAATTTCAAGTATGGTTGTCACGTGACAATTGTGCGGTGTGTCTATCAATTGACGAATGAATAAAAACTTTTGCCAAGTTACGTAACTAGTTACCTGATCGACAAAGACTACAAATTGTGTTATGAAGAAATGCCATGGTGCCGTATCGGCTTATTTTGACTACGGCATTTTCTGATACTGGTAATAGTTGAAAAATGCTAATATTTTAGATCATCTACTTATGAAACGCGAATGTTTCATCGAATTAAATAAACGAAGACAGTAATTAATTTATTCTGGAATATTACGGACGTGAACTTTAAGATGGTACGTGAATTAAATATGGAAAATTTTCAAAAGGGTGTACCTGTCGTTATTAGTGTGGTAATCACATACATTAAAATACGACATTCTCCACAACAAATTACCAAGAATTATTTTTGTTGAAGTATAGTTATATTAAAGGGAATGGAGCTTATAATTAACCCATATCCTACGAGACCTCAATATTGACCCATTTCTGGCCAGTTCGTTTCAAAATGAATTAAGGACCCTGATACTTACCCATCTCAAACATCTTGTAACAGAATGTAGTCTGAGATTATTTTGGGCATAATTCGTGTTGTCATCATATCGCGTATCGGTTTGCGTATCGTCAATACGTATCGTATCGAAAATGAACTGTATCGACACAGCCCTTATAAATACACGTCAATGTTTCAAATATTTGGAGGTTTTTAGTTTTTAGTAGCGAAAATAAATTAATGATTAGTTTCTAAATTATTTATGGTGCCGAAAAACATCAACTACATGTATTTGCATATCAGTATTGAGGTCAACCGTGATAGATAGATTTTATTACATAAAACACCCTTTCGGGAAGCATGTAAATTATACATTACGGTCAGCATAATAAATACATTATAAAAGTGGATGAAAAATATATAAAAAGTGGTTGTAAATTACATAAAATGTTAATGAAATGTACATTTATGTACATTGAGGGAGTATGTATGATTATCGCGTAATTCAACATAAAATTTGGTAAATAAGAGTGATTTGAATTGCTAAAAAAAAAGATGAAATATGTACAATATAAATTATACTCTCTATACAAGACTACAAGATGACAATTGGTTATTGAAGGGGATCTCATTTTAGACATTGTTTCATTTGATTAAACGCGTAAGTTCAAAAATTGACCTTTGATTGATAGTATGCATTGAAGGCCGAGCCATTGGAGCCGAAATGAAAAATAAAAATCAGCATGGTATTGTATCAGTCCTGTGGATTCAGCGAAGATTTTAGAGGTCCATAAACTTATGATTACTGAACGATAGATCTGCTCCCGATAGAACTAGACGATATAAATACTTGGGATGTGATGTGAACATTTAAATAACACTGTCTATATTTCTAATCTTTTTTTTTAAAAATACAACATTAGAGCACTAACTTAATCGTGCAATATGAAAAATAAGGTAATTTATGTCAAACTTTTTATGGCATGTAAATAGAATGAATACATAGAAACGTGTATAGTAAAATTTACTGCAACCAGTAACAAACTTGATACAGGCGTACCTGTTTTATGGAATAACCAACCATTTAGTTTAAGATGTTGTACATATCTATATTCTTTAAAACAAACTATTTCAAACACTGTTATTTAAACAGGCTTTTAATAGACACTACACTGAGAAGTAGTAAGAGTGTTATTTGTACATTTAAATAAAAATAAAATAAATTTATTGAACTTGTTTTAGTTTAAACATATTTTATTGACAAATATCAAAAGGATTGGGCACAAGTTTCAAAAACTTAGAAAAGCCCTTTCCATACATACAAATGATAGACAAAATTTAATACAAACAAGATTGCGAAATAGAATATAGAATAATAAATAATTTACAAGTAATATAAGTAAAGTCAGATGAATTATATCGCGAAGCTCTATATAAAATAAGTGAAGAGGTGATAAAGAGAATATAAAATTATATTTAAAACATTGAAAAAAAAATAAATAAAGTTTAATAAATGGGATATAAACGAACTGATAGGGGGGTGGGGGTGCGGGGGGGGGGGGGGGGGGGGAAAAAATGTTATCCACCAAAAAAGCTATAGCTAATAATTTATTCTAAGATGTAACTACTAACAATAACTTTTATTTAAATCGTTTTGAAAGTTTGATATATTTGTGAACTTCAAGGAAAAGGTTTGTATTCATCTCAATTGACAATTCTGGATTGCCACACAATAGGATATCTATATTTATCACAGAATAATTTGACAATGTATTTAATAGTTCGGCACGAATTACATCATATAAGTGACATTGCAGTAAATAGTGTTCAGCATTTTCTATAAATTTGCCACAAGAACATGTGGGATCATTCACAACGTTTATTTTATACAAATCATTTTGCAACGAACTACACCCATGCCGTATTCTAGTGTGATTAATATTTTCATCTCTATTACCTTTACAGTAGTAGATTGGCGCTTTATGTATTAAGGAACGTAATTTTTGTTTGTATAGATATTTGAAGGATTGCTTTATGGGGTCCTCTAATAATTCCCAATCTCGAATTGTTGTGGGGAAGTACGAAGTTTGGTGTAATGTTGTTCTACAATAAGGATATCTATATTCGCTAATGTTTCTTAAATTGTATTGTTGTGGTGTTTGTTGATAATATTCTAGAATGTCATATAAGTATGCTGGGTTTCTCTGATTTTTAATTTGAAAAAACGTAGTTAGTCGCTTTTGTGTACGTCTGTCTGACAATTTATTCCATCCGGTTTCAAAATAAAGCGCTTCACGAGAACAAGTTTTAGTTAGTCCAGTGACAATCCTGGCAGCTTCTAGCTGTACCTTTTCAAGTTTTTCAGTATTGGAAGCGTTACACCCATCCCACACTTCACATGCGTATTCCAATTTTGGCCTTATGAATATCAAATATACGTTATTTAGAGTTTGTCTATTAAAGGTGAATTTTAGTTTACGCAAAATATTTAATAATTTTGATTTGGACGAGATAATAGTTTCTATATGGATGGTCCATTTGGCGTCATTTGAAAGGGTAATGCCCAAGTGTTTGTGACATTTAACCACTTCAAGTGCTTGATTATCGAATATCAGACTCAGATAATTTTCTGGGTTTTTTTTAGCTAAATAAAATAGCTTTTGTTTTGTTTGGATTAAAGTTTATAAGCCAATTATTCGCCCAAATGTTGAGATTTGTCAGATCGTAGTTTAGGGACTGTTCTATCTCTGAAACTGACTGTTTGCTACACCCAAGTGCTGTGTCGTCTGCAAATAATCTAGCCACATTATGGAGTACATCTTGTACATCATTGATGTAAGTCAAAAACAAAAAGGGGCCCAAAACTGATCCCTGGGGAACTCCTGATTGAAGAGTA